TCATGATGTTATTATTATTATTATTGTTATTATTATTATTATTATTATTATTATTATTATTATTATTATTATTATTATTATTATTATTATTATTATTATTACTATTATTATTATTATTATTATTAATATTATTGATATTAATTGGAGTTTCTTGTATGATAAAATTAAATCATTTCCAAGTTTTTTTTTCTCGCAATCGAAATTTGGACATGTGGTATCAAAATGTCTTAAGATAAGAAATTTGGAAACATTTCCGTAATCAGTGAAAATTCGAAATATTTTAGGGTCACATAAACATATATACATATATTCATCTGATTGAAAAAAATTTTGAATGTTTTAAAGTGGTAAAGTTCCAATATTTCATTAATTTTACCTTTTCAACAACACTTTTTTGTTTTGCTCAAACATTTTTTGATGATATTAAACTGTTATAAAAAGAAAGATTTGGACAAACTAAAAAGAGAATATTTTTCGTCCATTTTTAAATATTATTGTTAAACTCATTAATTACTTAGTTAAGAATAAATGTTAACTTAATTAATGAATTAATTAAATGGAATAATTTGATGGTTGAAAAATGTCATAGTATTAGGGTTGATTCCAATGATTTCTTTTTGTTTCAAAAATTGAAGCTTTAATCAACATATGGTTGATATCCTCGTAAAATTTAATACTTCATAATTAGGTTCAAAAAAAAAGAAGAAAAAATTGAAAAAAAATGAATGTCATCGTTGTTTTCGCCAAATCAATACTACTGTTACGGTAGACTCGTAATGACATTTTATTACTTTTTGTTTTATTTTTTAAAATCCTAATTTTGGAGGGAAATTTTTATGAGTAAAATTGTGAAAATATAGATCGTTTGAAAAAAAAATAAAATTAAAATGCACTTTGATGGAAATTTTTGAAGTAAAAAATTTGATGGATGACATTTTTGCAATCATTTATGGAAATATTTGTCACTCAGATTAATGAATGAATTTCTTTTTTTTTCTTTTCAAGACATTAAACTTAAAAACGATAGTATGGCGAAAATTTGTTAAATTGTTTACTTTCAAGTTTTACTTACAAAAAGTAATTTATAAAATCGATTAAGTTTGAAAAAATTTTAATTTATTTCAAAAAAAAATATTGATTATAACAATTATATTCTTATCTCTTGCATATTTCTTTATCCATTTTTATTCAAGTGATAATGATTTATTGATTTTAATATTAATAATAGTACTATGGAATTTATCCTTAAGGATGATTTACAATCAAAAGGAAAGTGTTGAAGAGATAAATGAGATGATATGGCATTAACTGTTCAGTAGAATCATCTCCTCAATTGATTTATTACTTTTCACTTCTAATCAAAGATTTCACAGGTTAGGAGAAATTGTCGCAGCTACTTTAGGCGGTAACCTTTGGTTTCATTAGTAAATAAGCTTGCACGAAACAACTGACCCCTTCCTACCGTAATTGACCTCATTTTTATTTATCAATATAATGAGCATATTTTTGGTATTTTTTCTAACAGCTGAAACTTTTATCGTTTTATTAGCTGCATAGCAAATATTTTGGATTGTAAATACTGAAGGCATTCAGAAATGATCAATCAATCAATAATGTCATGTTTTAATATAATGCTCCTTTCGGGAAGTATCTGATATTGTTTTCTCATTGATATCATCTTGTGATAACGATTAAAGATTTTGGAAATACGGAATATTAACAAATTAAGTTTAATTTTGAATCATTTAATTTAGGCATAGTAAAATTTTAAGTTTACTTTTTATCAGTTTATATCGTAAATTTTGAGACCTTTTTGAAGGAGTTTACAGATACTACTCTGCCTTTGAATTTGTTATCTAAAAGTGAAGGGCTTTTGTCATTACTTTTGTAGGTCGAAGGTCATTGTTGGTTAATATGTCTTCGAAATATAATTTGCATGGTGTGGAAACATATGGTACAGTACAATTGCCAAGGTAATTGACATGAGCGGTCATTTTCCACTTAGTCATCCATCTAAAGGATACTCTCAAGTACCGCTTCGATCATTGTCCAACCGCGGTGGAGTTAATTATTTCAAGTTCTCTTAGCATATGTGCTTATTTATACTATGATCGAGTAAATGGTACTTCAGTTTGAATGGCAATTAGTCTTTTCACCGTCTTATCAGAGGGTAATAATTCATTCATTTTAAGTATTTCAATTTCAAATTTGAATCCCAACTTTCAATATTTATAAATGTTGAAAGTCATGAATCAGTTTTAAAATTGAAAACAGTCATATTAAATGGATTAAAATAGTCTTACTTCAGATAGTTCAACCTGATCAAAAGAAAACTTCAATGCTTATCATAGCATTAGTCTTTCTTAGTAAGAATATTTTTTCCATTATCTATTCGAAACTTTTTTCGATGAATGTAAGTTTAAAATGAGAAAACAATTGAAAATTTAAATTGTAAAGTAACAATTTAGATTGGAACTTAAAACTTTTGTACTAAATTTCGAGTATCCTTTTGAATCGTTTGCTATTTTTTGGAAAAAAAAATGAAAAATAAAATTTTTCAATAGAAAAGAAAAAAAAAGGAACGAATTCTTCCTCTTTTATGCATTTTAGTATTGAAATAAGTTCTTACATACAATATTTTAGGCAAATAACAAAATTAGAAAAAAAATATCCAATTATATTTCTTAACCAATTGTGAAAAAATTGAATTTATAAATATAATAATGAAAATTTTCAATCAGCAAATTCTTGAATTCATAAAAAAACTTTTAAATAAAACAATTATTTTATGAAATTTTTAAAAATCCCTTTTGGACTATCATTGATTTCGTTATTAATTTCAAAAATTTAATATCGATCAAATGTTATAATGAATTAAATGTAACAAAATAATCGATCAGATAACTTATCTGTTATAATGAATTAAATGTAACAAAATAATCGATCAGATAACTTATCTATGATTACTTTTGACTTGTTAACTCTGATTAAATGATCACTAAAATGTGTTTTATTGAATGATCTGATCATTGATATTGGACATATTTATCGAAAAATTTATCACAATCAATATCGAATTTTGAGTGAACCTTTTTTAGGCTTATCCAAATTCATTTAAATTATTTACATAATCTATTAGTTCATCTAATAATGAACACTCAACTCTTCATTAAAATAAAATTTGATAGGACAACTGATAATCGTAAATAATTTTTTTTTTTAAAAATAATTTCAATTAACTGGTCCCTTTATTTAATCAACAACTACATAACTTCATATTACGGTATTTATTAATATGTCGGTTTGTATATTGTGACCAT